CTCTCTCTCTCTCTCTCTCTCTCTCTCTCTCTCTCTCTCTCTATCTCATACACACACACACATATACACACACAGCTTCTGGCTGCAAGTAATCCTGCAAAACACAACACAATGGCTTCAAGGTGGGTTTGACACCTGTATCCTAAACACTCTAGTGTTTCACTCATCCTGCAAAGATGTTCTATTGTCCTTTCCAGTGTAACAAATGTTTCCAGGCACATGCAAACTGTATATTTCACTGTCTTTTCACATTATAGGTAGTCATCAACTTACAACTGTTCATTTAGTGACCATTCAAAGTTACCGCAACACTGGAAAAAAATGAGTTATATAATCATTTTTCACACTTACGATTGTGGGGTCCCTATAGTAATGTGATGAAAATTCAGCCACTTGGCAACTGACTCAAATTTATGACGGTTGCATCTTCTGATGAGCAAAGTCAACGTGGAAGCCAGATTTTACAACCTTTCTTGTTGCGATTGTTAAGTGAATCACAGCAGTTGTAACACGGTTGTTAAGTGACTCTAGCTTCCCCGTAGACTTCGCTTGTCAAAAGGTCAGAAAAGATGATCACACGATCCTGGGACTCTGCAACAGTCATAAATATGAGTCAGTTGACAACTGTCTGAATTTTGATCACATGCCCATAGGAATGCCGCAACGGTTGTAAGGGTGGAAAACAATCATAAGCCACTTTCCCCCCCCCCATTGTGGTTGTAACTTCAAATGGCCACTAGATGAACTGTTGTAAGTCAAGGACTACTTGTAGTAGAGTTGATGATTTTGGACTTCTAGGTACAAGACCACCAAATACAAAATCTTTAAAGCCAACATTCCAAGAAGAGAGAAGATGTCTTGAAATTTTACGGCAGCCCCAAATTATCCCAATTCATATCGTACAACTGTGTAGCTTGGTTGTGTCTCTGGTGGTGAGTGGAGTTTTTTGAAAGCTGCCTTTCGAGATAATGTGTTAGTTCAAAACATAATCCTAGTCTTCTCCTGATTTGGGGCATCTTGCATTGTCCTTGTCTAGCATGTCTAGCTTTTACCCAGATATACTGGAGGATAGCCCAACACGTCAACCCTGAAGCCATTTGGGAGCATCTTCAGGGCTGCCACATCTACACTTGTTGGAGCTATGGGAACAGGAAGGGGGAGTAGAGATAGCTGGGAACTTGTAGCCAAAATAAAATTCTTTCTCCTGGGAACCAAGGATGTTCTCACTAGGTGCTGGGGAGGCGTGGGCTGGAACTAACTGGGGTTGGGGCTGTGGCTAGATTGGACCATGGGAGGGACATGTGGACTGGGGGAAGGGACTTTGACTTTTAATTTGGGTGGGGGGAAACATTGGGACCTTCAAAGTCAGCTTTTCACCAGATGTCCCAATATGACATGCCTAATAAATCTGTACTTTGAGGAGCGCCCAGGTTTCAGAGGTTTGATTGCGTTGGATCTGTTCCTTGGAACCCTAACAACATTCAGTTCCCTTCCTGGCACATGGGATGCGGGGGGGATTTCATTTCTAGAGTCATATGGAAATCTTGAACAAGGATGCCCTCGTGGAGATACACTCAATTTCTGAGCACGAAGGACCTTGCTGAATATGTAGGAAAGCCGAAATTGCACCCTGATGTTTCTCAATGCTATGTGAGAACAAATTTCAGAGTTTGCCTTGAGAATCTGAGCAAGATAATCAGACATGGATTTCACATCATTTTACCACCAGTTTCGCTGCGCACCAAAACACTGTATGCATGCATGCCCACACTCACTTCATGAGCATATGTGCTTTCCACGCATGCGCTTTGTTTGCATAGCTTGCATGCATGTGCACGGCTTAGAAAATGTGGCTAAACAGAACAGCCTAGGGCTGGGGTGGGTGGGTGGATTGCCACTACCAGTTTGCCTGACCGGTCACTTAAATGGACTGAATTCGGCTATAAAAAGGAAAAGGACATTTAATAAATTAGAGAAATTAAAATAATATGTCTGCAAGAAGTGCACATGAAAAAGCAACATAAACAATTTCTCGACTATCCAAAATTTGGGAACTTATGCATGACACTTGCTTGTCAAAGCAAAAGAGGGATAGCACAATATATCAGAAAGACAATACAATCAAAGCAAATATTTGAGGACGAGGAGGGGAGAATATTAGTGGAAATAATGATGAACTGTAAAAATAATTATGCACCAAATGAGAATCAAGAAGAATTTTACGGGAAATTACATAGAAGGATAATAGAGTATGAACATGAATATATATATATAT